GTTTCTTGGTTTGCCCCATGCTATGAACTTTATTCATAACACCAACATAATGCCCTAATTTACGTCTAATAAAATCACAGTAATTGTACTCTAGTACCAAAAGTTTTACCCTTTCTTTACACGCAAACAATATGTCATATGTTTCATAAAAACAAGAAGATCCATTAAAATAACACATAAGCACTAAATAATTACTAAACAATTATACTTAGTATATTGAAATACTTTCACAATCATTTATGGATTAACTTACTACTTAAGGCATCTGAGGAACACCCAGTTTTCAAATAAATTAAAATGTGTGAGAAATGCCCGTTTCAAAATCTTTTTTTAAATAAATTTTGAAGCGTTTTATTATACTCCTATACAAGTCCAGTGTAGAAAAAAATTGAAAATATAAATAAGAAAAATTGGAAAGGAAAAAACCCTTCTAACATATATTCTTTCAGAATCAACAATATATACTTTAAAAAATCATGCTATTTCAAAATCTGCCGTTTGTGTATAACCTAAAATATATGTTGACGCGGAAAGATAATCATGTACTAAAGAGAAAACCACAAGGCGTGGAACATTCATCCAAGCCTACAGACTACTTCTGTAGGAAGTTGCCTAAGTCATGACCCATTTCTGAGTAAGGGTCTGTAGGGTGTCCTCCCCCAGGTCCCCGTGCTTTGTACCCAGGGACGGGGCTGCCCAGCCACTGCTGATCAGTCCTGTAAGACATGCTTGGATCCTTTCTTTCAGAATCTGAATGTGAGCTGGACACAGAAAAATGGAAGCAACAGAAGAGACACAGGTCACAGGGAACCATAATGGCTGAAGACTGAATTATGGAACCCCGAGAAAACCAGGTGAAAGATGAGACCCATTCTATTTCCACGTGGTCTGGCTGCGTGGCTGCTGAGACTTTCTGTATTTCTAACGTTACTAATAATGCAGCTTTCTGACTGATCTGACTTAACGATGCAGTATTTTAAGCAGAAAAGGTTTACACAACATCTACATCTACACTTCCACGCTTCCTGACTGCATAATGCTTCAGTGCATGGAGAGGGAATGATCTGTTTAGCCAATTTACAGTTGGCCAGCAGGGTTTGGACTGCACAGATCCGCTTAAATGTGGGTTTTATTTCATCAGTGAATACTACAATACTACACAATCCGTGGTTGGTTGGAACCACAGATGCGGAGGAACCGAGGATGCAAAGGGCGGACTCTAAGTTACTCTTAAATTTTTGACTGTGTAGATGATCGATGCCCCAACCTCCACATTGTTCAAAGGTCAGCTGTACTTTCAAGTTTTTCATTTGGTGCCAAACTTTCAATACACATCCTTGTACACATGTTTCATACTTGTCTGATTATTTCTTAAACTCCTAAAAGCTGTGACTTATTGCTATGGCCGACAGGATATAAATATGCAATAGTGTCGTTTAAAATATTTAAGTAAGCATTTATGTTTACCGTGATGAATCACGTGTATAGTAATGTTAGAGGAAGTAAAAGAAAAAAAAACTATCAGTGACAGTCACCAGTGAATTGAGAACAATTTTTAGCCAATGCATCTTATTCAGGTCTATGAATAAATTCTTACTTGCTCAATAAATTTCAGACGTGTCCTGGGCCCTTATATACCAGGCACTCTGAATGAATGGGACTCGGTCCCCGTATGCACACTGCTTTACAAGCAGTAACCATTCGATAAATAATCATTTCATGGAACTGAGTGGGACCCATGACCCACCGAGAAACTAGCTTACCTGATTCCCGTGGCCAACGCTATAGGTGTGCGAGAAAGTCGTGATAATGTTTCTATTACCTGAAAAAGAGGAAAGTATTCATTGGACATGTATTTCAGAAAAAAACTTTTTTTTTTGGAAAAAGGAGTTTTACAATCTCATATTAACAATGGCAGCAGAAATGTAAATTTGCAGATGCCAACAAAGTACGGAAGGGGAAGAGCTGTAACTGAAAAGGATAAAAACCTGGGTTATAATTTTGCCCCTTTCACTTTATGACTCTAAACGGGGAACCAACCACCTGGTTTGCAGTTTCTGGATCAGTAAAAGCAAGGAGCTAGACAGGGTCATCCTAAAGGTCTCACATCTCCACTCCTCCACGATGAAAGATGAAGCTGCGTTGTCCAAAACCACAGCCACGAGCCACACAAGGCTACTTACATTAATTAAATGTTTAAAAACAAAAAATTAAGTTTCTAAGTTGTGCTAGCCACATTTCAAGTGCTCGGTTACCACATGTGGCTAGTGGCTATGGTACTGGACTGCACGGACCCCAGACATTTCTGTTATCACAGAAAGTTCTACCGGTCAGCATTGCTGTACAACAAAGTGGTCTGAAGGATGGGCTCTCGAGCCGAACCACATGGGTTCTGATCCTGACTTCGCCATTTATTCGCCGTATTACCTCGGGCCAACTATTTAACTCCTCTGGGTTTCCGTTTTCTCATCCAGATACTGCCTGTAATAATTAAGTTAGATTATTCATCATCAGTAGATTGTTATAAGAATTAAAAATACATGTAAAGTGTTTTAAATGGTAGCTATTCTTTATAATTACCAACTCTGAGAAAACTGCCGTATTCTGAGTATTTTCAGAAACAGAATTTCCTAAATTACCCTTGATTATCTGTATCTGTCTCAAAAATTCTTCTTGAAGATCTTCAGTACCTAGCCCTCAGGGCACCCTGCGGCAGCTTTACCATCAGTACCTAGCAAAGGTACCTCCTTCCCACACTGGTACCCGACAGCATCTCTTTCAAAGACTTAGTGAGGAAGCCAGTGAGCTTGTGTTTTTTCTCACGAAGTCTGTTTCTATGATAATAGATATAATTTGTCCTAATTCTCTAAGTAAACTTTAAAGAGGTTCTACTGAATAGAATAAGAATTTTTAAAAAAGGTAAAATTCTCTCCCCGGGTTGAGGTAATCTTCGAATTCTTCAGTTCGAAGACAGAAACACAAAAAGTAAAAGGGCTCACAGCACCCTGCAGGAGTCCCGTATGGGTATCAGCCACACACAGACTTACTTATTACTGACCTCAGGAGGTGGTATGTTGCTGTGCTTACAAACCCTTCACTCTGAAATGAGACGCCCGGATGAGCTAAGCACACCTTTACCAGCCTCTATGCAATGTGGTTAAATAACCACCACCTACCTGCCTCATGGAGTCACAGAAAAAACTAAGGAAGATAATCCTCATGAAACGCTTCACTCAATAAATATGAGCTTTATTATTATATAAAGTTATTATCATATACAAATAAAATTTCACTGAAAGCCTTTATGCAATTTCTTCCTGGCTAACCTTGTTGAAGAGCAAGAAATGACCACCGAGATAAAACTTGATACCAATTAATTTCCATAATAAAGATAAAGCATCTTCAGCGAGTCTGTAGATTCAAAGATCACGAATGAACAAATAATAAATGCATCACAATAAACAGATTCAAGATAAAAAAAAATAATCATTTGCTAAATTTCTAAAAACAGGGACCCTGAGTGAAATCTCTAGCTGTTGGGGAGAGCCCAGAGTAATCTGTGGAGTCGTGTTTAGACTGTAAACTGTTGAATTTTAGCCTCAGCCTTATCCTGGGGTGGCACTTTTCCAAAGTCATGGGATGAGGTCAGCTTCTAGTTCTTTTTTCACCGTGGTCCCACAGTGTCACTACTCAATAACAAGAGAAACAGCAACAGCAGTAGCATCGTTATGTTATTTTACTATCGCTACTATTTACTTTAACCCAAGTTGAAACACCAGAACTATTCACAAGCCGTCCCTGCCCCCACGCAAGAATCTGTGGTTTGATTGTTTTCATACAATTGTCCACCAGAGGGAGCCAGATGACAGTCTATTATATCACTCCTGCATTGACTTTTTTTTTTTTTTACTGTGGTATATATATTTTTAACTTTTTTATTGATTTATAATCATTTTACAATGTTGTGTCAAATCCCAGTGTAGAGCACAATTTTTCAGTTATACATGAACATATATATATTGTCACATTCTGCATTGACTCTTAAGTACAAACATTTCTGAACATCAACAAGCCGAAACCAATTCCTATTATTTACTTCACAAAATATTTATCTAAGTAAATATTTAAATATTAATAAAATATATGTAAAATATTTATTTTGTTACATAGATAGAAAAATAACATAAAATACAAATTCAGTGGACGAGACAGAAGGATAATGCATAACATGGTCATAAACTAAATCTCCCTGAGGACCATCACTCCTTTGTGCCTGTCTTTTTTGTACATCAAGTCCGTCCATTAACTCTAAGTTTAGCCAAAGCAAATAAAGACTGTTTGGCCAACGCAGTGTTTTTAGAACAGTGTGTATTCTACAAAGGTGGAGTGTGTCCGCATTTAGAAGGGACAGGTACACAAATTAACACCAGAGTCTCAAGTCCTCTGTGTGAAGAATGACCTGCCATTAGAAACGTGCATTCAAGAGTGTATTTACAAAAGAAAATATCCCCAAGGGCAGGAGGAAGGCTGTTTGCCTTGAAACGTCTTCATTTCTAAATTGTTGCCCCAAATAATATGAAATATGGATATTAACTCCCAGAGAGGGGAATAACTAGTTAGAATATTTGCAAGTTAATAGGCTGACAACCAGCTACTAAATCCACATCATGGATTTTCTTTCTTTACCTACATTCATCCTTTGTTTGATAAGAGTGGCATTTGTAATGAAATAAAAACAATTCCAGATGACATGAGTAAGAGTCACCATAGGAGGAGGGTGGGAGAGGTGGGCAGGGCTCCCTTGTGCTTGCTTGAGAAGGGAGGCTACCCCTCAGAATCTATGAAGGATCATTGGCCAAGTTTAAGGGAGACAGTAGGGCCCAAACTGCATTTTTAGAAGATCACTCAGCAAAGTGAAGGGCAGACCAGAGCAGAAGGATGTGGGAGACAGACAGAGGCCAGGAGACCCACCAGGGGGTTTCTCAATCATCCAGGTGAGAAACGAGAGGTCTGAACTCAGACAGCAGGTGTAGAGCCAGGGGAGAGATGGAAATGTGAGCAGCACTTAGCAACAGTGGCTGCTGCTCTGTGGAGGCTGAGGCAGGAGGAAGAACCCAGGAGAGCCTGGACCAGCTGTTACAGCGTGGAGGGGCTGGCTCACCGCCACCCACCCGGGAGGCTCCAGATGCTCCAAGCAAGAAGTTCTCATTCTCTCATGTCCATCCTGAACTCGGCCAGGCTGGTCCCTACACAGAGCCTTCTCTGACCATCTCCCACCTCCAGTCTGGGTCCTCTGTGTCCCCACAGGACCCTGGACCTAACTCCACACTGTCACTGATTCCCTTATTTAAATATGTATTTGCTGTTTAAAATATTTCGAGGGTGTGGAGAAAAGGGAACCCTCCTACACTGCTGGTGGGAATGTAGTTTGGTGCAGCCACTGTGGAAAACAGTAATGGAGACTCCTCAACTGAAAACAGACTTACCATATGATCCAGCAATCCCACTCCTGGGCACATATCTGGAGGGAATTCTAATTAGAAAAGACACATGCACCCCAATGTTCACAGCAGCACTGTACACAATAGCCAAGACATGGAAGCAACCTAAATGTCCCTCAACAGATGACTGGATAAAGAAGTTGTGGTATATTTATACAATGGAATACTATTATGTCATAAAAAGAATAAAATAATGCCATTTACAACATGGATGGACCTGGAGGTCATCATTCTAAGTGAAGTAAGCCAGAGAGAGAGAAAAATACTATATGATATCACTTATATCTGGGATCTTAAAAAAAAAGAAAGAAAAAGGAAGAAAAAAGAGGACACTAATGAACTCTTCTACAAAAGAAATAGACTCGCAGACATAGTAAACAATCTTATGGTTCCCAGGGAAAGGGGGTGGGAAAGGACAAATCTGGGAGTTTGAGATTTGCAAATGTTAACCAATATATATAAAAATAGATTAAAAAAACTATTATCTTCTGTATAGTACATGGAACTATATTCAATATCTCATAATAACCTTTAATAAAAAAGAATACATGTATGTATATGCATAACTGGGACATTATGCTGTACACCAGAAATTGACACATTGTCATTGTACTACACTTTAAAAAAATTAGAATTCAATGATTTCAAGAAAAAAAATAATTCAAAAGGACTCATGTTTGTCTATTGAAACAATACAGTAATACATAAAAGAAGTCCCCTACACTGCTCACACCTTCTGTCTAAAGGAGACTAGAGCTACGAGTCTGGTATGACTCTCGGCAGAATCTTATTTATTTTTCTTATTATTTTACGTAATGTGTTTCTATTATACAGAGTTTCCTATGACATGCTTTCGTCATTTAACAATATATCACAGAGAGCAGTGCCAACACATAAAGATCCACTTTATTCATTTTGATGATGTGTAACATTCTGGTGTAAGTATACAGAACGTAAGGATTTAACCATTCTCTGGCCAGTGAGCTTTTTCAACATTTTGCTACAACAATGCTTCAGTTACCATCCTTGGCAAGTATTTATTCAGTTGTGTGCAGGTATCTCTCTCTTAGGAAAGATTCCTAAAGGGGAGGACTAGGTCAAAAGGTATAACCATTGTTCTTCAAAAAATCTGCACAAATTCACATACCCCTGACGAGTGTCTGAGACCATAATACGGCATTCTAATGACCTGTTTACTTGTCTGTCTTTCCCACCCAACAGTGGAAAACAACTTAAAGGTAGAGAAATTGCTTCTTTGTTGTTGTTTTCCCATCACCGAGCTTACAGGAGAGCTCTTAACAACCACTTGACACAAAAAGTA